AAAAAAGTGGTTGGTTTTGGTAAGTTTAGGTCAGTCATAAATGTTTCTTACATTTTTTTTTAATATGGCTCCAGAACAATTCTCTGGATATGTTAATTTTGTCAAGATCTTGCATGTTCAAAATCCTTTTATTCATGAATGCACAGCATGATCCAAATATGTAGTTGAATGCTTTTTGTTCTGTACAGAGTCTATGTGTCTGTCACATGACCAATCAAAGACTTAGACCCAAAAAACGCAGAAAACTATCATTTGGTTGCATTACAATGATTTTCTAATTCAGAGTATGATTAAACATTGCACATGTGGTGTGTGAGGTATTTGGCTATTGAAAATATAACATTTTAAATTAACTACACAAAGTCACTTGAATGAGAACTTGCTTATTTTGCTGAAAATGATTCAAAGATTCAAGTCATTAAAATGATCCGAACTTCCAAAATAAGTAGCAAAGTTGACCAGACTTCGGTCAAAAGCCTGGTGACACAAGACTACTTTAAACTACTCATAAAACACATGGACTGTCCTAATGAGTGTTCTAGACTTATGCTCTAGAAAAACACTCCAAGACAGCAGAAAAAAAAGTTTAATAAGCATCTGTTACAGTGTTTACCAAAACAATGATCCCTTGCTGCATAAAATTACTAATTTGTACTTTAAAAAAAATATGACTCCGGAACAATTCTCTGGATGTGTTCATTTTGTCAAGATCTTGCATGTTCAAAATCCTTTTATTCATGAATGCACAGCATGATCCAAATATGTAGTTGAATGCTTTTTGTTCTGTACAGAGTCTATGTGTCGGTCACATGACCAATCAAAGTCTCAGACCAAAAAAACGCAGAAAACTGTATCATTTAGTTGCATTACAATGATTTTCTAATTCAGAGTATGATTAAAGATTGCACATGTGGTGTGTGAGGTATTTGGCTATTGAAAATATAACATTTTAAATTAACTACACAAAATCACTTGAATGAGAACTTGCTTATTTTGCTGAAAATGATTCAAAGATTCAAGTCATTAAAATGATCCGAACTTCCAAAATAAGTAGCAAAGTTGACCAGACTTCGGTCAAAAGCCTGGTGACACAAGACTACTTTAAACTACTCATAAAACACATGGACTGTCCTAATGAGTGTTCTAGACTTATGCTCTAGAAAAACACTCCAAGACAGCAGAAAAAAAAGTTTAATAAGCATCTGTTACAGTGTTTACCAAAACAATGATCGTTTATTCACTGACAACAGCTAAATCATATCATTTGCCTAAGGCACATCATTACTTAAGCTTTGCATTATGGGTAATTGTTTTTATGTCACATCAGGGCACAAGAATCCTATTCCACCTAAAAACAAGACTCTGACAATGAGGTGCTGGAGCCCTAGGGACAGGATCACAGCCAAACAGCACACATCTCTCCTTCCTATCAGATTTTATACACACACTTGCTCCTCACACTAATGAGACCTTGTTCTATCATGTTTTAGAAAGCACCACACACACACCCACACCCACAGACGTGCATCAGCTTATTACCTCAGCTCCATCACCCACCTCTGTGGTCGTGTTCTCATCCTTGAGACAGAGAAACAAAATTACATTCAATATCACACAGAGTCCAGTTGATCCAGAGACTATAAGGCAACACTACCACAAACAAACAGTGTGTGTGTGTGTGTGTGTGTGTGTGTACAAACCTCCTTCTCTTTGTCCTTCTTTTCCCCCTGATGCCAGAACATGGAAACAAGCACATAAATCAAAGAAACATACAGAAATCAACACACAAGATAGAAACTATAGGCACTTACAAGCTAAATCTAAATGAGCACATATAATGATCATTATTCAATACATTAAGGGAAATAAATGCAAACATTTGCTAATTTAGTTGTTTAACATTAACATCATGAAGAAGATCTCGAACCTATGTTTACATGTTTAATGACTATGTTAAAATATACATAATATATACATGTATACATAACTATCACTATATCTATAATTATTAGTTATATATATATATATATATGAATAATACTAAATCAAATACACTACTGTTTCACTAAGATTGGGGTCAGTAAGATTTTTTTATGTTATTGAAAGACATCTCTCTGTGATTACCAAAGCTGCATTTATTTCATTAAAAATACAGTAAAATACAGTCAATATTTCTAACATTTAAAATAACTATATTCTGTCATGCAAGCTGGATTTTCAGCATCATTACTCCAGTCTTCAGTGTCCATGAACATAATGCATTCTAATACAATTTAACAATCTTTAACAAATCTTCTGAAACAGATTTGCTGCACAAAAAAAGCATTAAATAAAGAAATCAGTTCTTATTATTATCAATGTTGAAAACAGTTGTGCTGCTTAATATTTTGTTGTAACCATGATAACATTTCTTCAGTTTTTTTTTGTAACATTATTAATGTCTTTACGGTCTCTTTTGATTAATTCAGAGTGCATAAACGTATACAAAAAAAATCTCTTACTGACCCCAAACTTATATGTTAGTGTATTATGTGTAGATTTATGTATTTTGAAAGTATTGTCAAAAGAGTTACATCTCTATTACACTGTAATATAGTTTTAATTGAAAGAAACAATAAATTCAGATTTAATAATTCCACCCAAATGGCCTGCAGATTATGATAAAGTTTATGCTTGAAATGTATCTTATACATGGAATTACAAAATCTAAATAAAACACTAGCAAAAAAACATGCCACTGGGGACCATATGCTTGTGTATATTCTGTGGGTGGCATCTTACTCCAGGGGTCGAACTTTTCACTTTTCACTTCAAAATAATGAAGCAGCTTTTTTTTCTCCGCACAATTTTTGTAATTGTTTGTCTATGAGCTACATGCAGCGCAATGTTTTTTACAGCATCTTGCAACCCAAGCACTGCGTTATTAGGATGGTGTGAACTAGTTAAACTTTTAAAACGTCATCTCAAGACTTTACGTTCTATTTCATGCCTTTAGCTGCACTCCATCGAGTTGTTTTTGATTTATTATTGCTGTCACTTCAGAGTACTCATACTCATCCCCAGGGCTGTAACCACCACCATAGACATTAGGTGCATTATATACTGTATATACACACACACACACACACACACAAACACAAACACACAAAGGCTTTAAGTACCAATATTACAAAATACTGTAAGTGCACACACCTTTTCTTTCTTAGCAACAGACTGCAGAAAGAAAGAATGAACAAAAAGACAATAAGAATGAAAGCCAACAAAGAAAAAGATGCATAGATGAACTCAAACACCACAATATCTTCCGCACACAGAATGGAAGGGAAGGAAAGAAGAATCTAGAGAAATAATTCTACTGGGTAATAAGAGGAAGAAGTTAAATAGAAGAGAAGAATCTGGCTCCCTAAATATTTGATTCATCTGCTCAAAGTATCTGATACGACGACACTGACTACTTCACTACGACTGTCATCCATCAAACTAAAGCATGTAGCTCACACAAACCCACCTTCTGCCTGTCAAGCTGTACATGCAGATGAAAGGAGAAACAACAGTCAATAACAGATGGATGAATGGCAGGGGGTGAGGGTGACGGAGAGAAGGAAGTTGAAATTTTGAACAGGGGCAGCCCAATGCTCAAGGGGCCATTCACATAGGATGCGCTTATGCATTAAAAACAGCTACACAGAGTGGATTGAAAAACTGGCCTAACCACGACAACCAGAACACAAAACTCCACAGCGTCATCTTTAAAATGCAGAATTAATTGAAAAATGTCTGGCTTTAAAAATGCCTGGACGCAATAACACAAAGCAAAGCACTCACATTTAGGTGCCGTCACTAGAAGAGTGCCTGCTGAGCCGAAAACTGCTGCTGTTCTAATTCAGTTCTTTTGATTGGCAACACGGTCCCAAAACTAATCTTTAGTTAACTATCATAATTTGAACACTTTTTATACAATACTTGAGGGAGGACAGGAAACTATGGGAATAAAAGACGACCCATGATCAAAAAACGTTGCAACAAGATAACCACAATCTAAACCACAATCACAAGAGCACATGATAAAAACTAGTGAAAGGTACACAACCAACAGGGTTTCACAACTCACAATACAGCCACTGAAGTCAAATGGGTTGACTTTTATCTTTACAAAACCAACCTTATTCTCCTTTTCTTTGTTGTCAATCTACAAATAAAAATAAATCATACATTCTCCAATTACAGTCCAGTGTGCCACCGATTTAAAATAGCAACCTGCTAAAATCGCATTACACCACTTGTTCACCAACTCCTCTGCAGTGAATGGATGCCGTCAGAACGAATCGCCAAAAACAGCTGATAAAAGGATAACTGATTCATGACAACTGGAGGAAATTTTATTATGGATTCTTATAATGCCTCGATGGATTTGTTTCTCACACATACACGCAGCTTTTCACTTCACAAGACATTCATTAATAGACTGGTGTGGATTATTGTGCTGTTTTCATCAGCTGTTTGGACTCTCATTCTGACGGCACCCATTCACTGCAGAGCATCCATTGGTGAACAAGTCATGTGATGCTAAATTTCTCTAAATCCGTCAATAAGAAACAAACTCAACTACATCTTGGATGCTCTGACGGGGAGTAGATTTCAGCAAATATTGATTTTTGGGTGAACAATTCCAGCAAAAGTGCATCAACTGTTTGGTGAATTCACCCCTACAGTACGATTTGAAAGGTCATTTCTATTCAATGGACTTTCCAGATCTTTCATGGTGTAACTCTGCAGTTCACTCACGATGTGGAGCTGTGTTTTAATTAGCCTGTATTATGTAATGATGCTGAATGAATTAACATTGAATGAATTAACATCACAGCTGGAGTCTAGAACACAAACTCCACAGGACACATCACACAGAGTACTCACTCACCTCCAATTAAAGTGCCCCTATTATGGATTTTTGAAAATTACCTTTCATGCAGTGTGTAACAGCTCTACGTGAATGAAAACATCCTGCCGAGTTTTAAATCGGTAAGTGCACTGTGTATAAAGTTATTGTCTCTCAAAAGAAAGAGTCGACTCTGAATCATTGAAACGAGTTGTTTTTAAAACGAATCCCAAGCCGTTTCATGTTGACGTCAAAATGAAACATTAGCATATTGCCCCGCCCACTTGTTAGTCTTTTCGCATTAGTCTGAATGAAAACGCAAATTCATTCTTTGCCACTAGGTGCCGCTGTTGGAGCTGTAAAATAGCGGTTTCCCCGGTAACACTGTACACAAAGCAGCACTGCGCTCACAAACGCTGCTTTATCAGGCATTACAGGCAAGATGAAATGAAAATGAGACCAATCGGACCAATCACTGCCGATTAGCGTCACGCAAAGGAGGGGTTTGGAAAAATGAATCGTTAAACGAATCGTTTGGGCAAGTAAGGTAAAAATAAATGCATATTATAAGACAATGAAAGTGTTTTTTGACCTGTTAAAGTTGCCCCTATTATGGATTTTTGAAAATTACCTTTCATGCAGTGTGTAACAGCTCTACGTGAATGAAAACATCCTGCCGAGTTTTAAATCGGTAAGTGCACTGTGTATAAAGTTATTGTCTCTCAAAAGAAAGAGTCGACTCTGAATCATTGAAACGAGTTGTTTTTAAAACGAATCCCAAGCCGTTTCATGTTGACGTCAAAATGAAACATTAGCATATTGCCCCGCCCACTTGTTAGTCTTTTCGCATTAGTCTGAATGAAAACGCAAATTCATTCTTTGCCACTAGGTGCCGCTGTTGGAGCTGTAAAATAGCGGTTTCCCCGGTAACACTGTACACAAAGCAGCACTGCGCTCACAAACGCTGCTTTATCAGGCATTACAGGCAAGATGAAATGAAAATGAGACCAATCGGACCAATCACCGCCGATTAGCGTCACGCAAAGGAGGGGTTTGGAAAAATGAATCGTTAAACGAATCGTTTGGGCAAGTAAGGTAAAAATAAATGCATATTATAAGACAATGAAAGTGTTTTTTGACCTTGCATGCATGTCAACCTGTTGTTGGGGACTCCTAAAACTAAAATATGAACCTTTCATAACCCATAATGGGGGCACTTTAAAAATATAGCATTTGTATGGATCTAATCAATATCTTTTAACCTGCATTCAAGACTAACTCTATTTACTATATGAATACAGAGAACCTACATATTTCACTCCTCACTCATGCTCAGATTCACTGCTCTTGGTTGGATACAAGAATCAATTAAGCCACAAATCCCAGCTGTAGAAGTGAAAGCTTTTGATTCTTTTAAAAGCTTAAGTGCTACATTAAATTATCTGGTCACAATTAATGGGTCAATTAGGCTTTTATGTGTGTGACTGCAAGCTAAAGACCCGTCTGCTCTATCAGATACTAACTACCTAAAGTCTTAAAGAGACAGTTCACCCAAAACGAACATTGTCCTCATTTACTCGCCAAATCCTGTATTTTCTTTAGTCTGTCACAATCTCTAAATACATTTCACAAAAACAAAACATGAATGAACGAGTAAATGAAAACCAGACAGATGACTGTACTGTATATCAGCCGAGCTTTTGATTTTAGTCCATCTTTAAAAAGCACTGACTATGACCTCTTAACATACCTCTGATCCTTCTGAATCCGAAATGCCAGACTGATGGAAAAGACGTAGATACATAAGTCAGACAAAAATAATAAAGTAAACAATTAAAACAATGACGCACATGAAATAAAATAAAAATAAAATAATAAATGCAGCTTCACTTACACTACTGTTAAAAGGTTTGGGCTCAGTAAGATCTTATTCGTGTTTGGAAAAGAAATTAAGTTTATTTTGAAAAGATGTATTAAATTGATCAAAAATGAGAGCAAAGACTTAAATGGTAACAAAAACAAACAAACTTCCATTTAAAAAAAATAGGCTGCTGTTTGGAATTTATTTATATTTTTTAAAGGGGTCATATAATGCTATTTCAATTTTTCCTTTCTCTTTGGAGTGTTACAAGCTCTTGGTGCATAAAGAAGATCTGTAAAGTTGCAAAGACTAAAGTCTCAAATCCAAAGAGATATTCTTTATAAAAGTTAAGCTTTTCAGACCGATGAGCTTTGTAAAAATCGACGCGTTTCAGAAAGACGGGGCATAGAGGAGAAACAATAATGTACAGTATGTGGAAAATAATGTTTTTTTAACCTTAAACCACATAAACACATTTCATTACACCAAATACACAAAATAATGTTCTTTTTAGCAGCATCATATGACCCCTTTAAAGAGTCCTGAAGAAAATGTATTACAGTTTCCAGAAAAATATAAATAATAACGAATATTTTTTGAGCACCAAATCAGCATATTAGAATGATTTCTTAAGGATCATGTGACACTGAATGCTGGAGTAATGGCTGCTCACAATTTAGCTCTGCCATCAAAGGAATACATTACTTATCAAAATATATTTAAAATAATATGTATATATATATTTTTTTTTTACTCAATGACCCCAAACCTTTTAGCTGTAGTGCAACTATCTGCTCTGTTGAAAATCTCAGTGCTAAGAAGTCGCTGTACTGTCAGTGTGCTAGTAGGCATAAACTGTATGGTAATTGCTGCATCGCATCCGGTCGCTTTGTCACTGCATATCTCTGTCAGTGTGAACAGCCATTTATAATGTTTGATAAACAGAGTCATAAAGAAGCACATCAGGTGAGACGTATGCCTGCTTCTCACCTTAGCATCTGATTCATCCGACTGGTAATGAAAAATAAAGAACAAGATGAGTAATAGTGAAAACAAAGAACAAAAAAGAAAGAAGGTGCTAGGTAGTAGCAGTAGACTTTCACTGCCTTGTTGATTTACACAAAATCTTGTAAAACTCCCACATGCGCACACACACACACACACATTCATAGCATCACACACTCCTCTTTACCGCAGTGTTGAGTGTACAGACCTCATTGCCTTCATCATCAGTGATGGCCTGAGCAAAGGGAGACCAAAAAAAAAACGAATTTTGTGTGGTTTTTGACCCTTAGCTTTAAACACATACACTCAAACAAGACTACATTCGCATTTGCATACACAAACACACATCTTTGTCTAACTGGAAGATGTTTAAATGATAGTTTAGAAGACCAAAATATTAAATGCCGCCAAGCACCATAATAAAAAAGATGGACCATAATTTTCTAAATTTACATTTTCTCAATTCACTTATGAATGGCAGGTAATTAGCAGTTCATTTTGGACCCTATCCATAAACACTCTCAACACACCTCCTCCTCATCGTCCTCAGGCTCCTCCTCATTCTCCAGCTGGGAGTGAAAATAGAGATCAACGTTAAAGTGATTTAGGGATTTTATACTAAGAGAACAACACTGCGGAGGGCTGAATCATTTGGGTGGCATAAGGTGGTGCAAAAAGGGCACTGCAACCTAGTGAAAGAGTCTAAACACAACACCTACTAAGGCACACAAACCACACAGAGGGTTTATAGGGATAATCTATCTCAAAAATACATTGCTTCACCTACCCGCTCTTCCTCAACAGTACACTATACACAAAAAATGCATATGGTTAGCTCAGCTAATATAAACATGCACCACACACACATATCTACAGAAAAATGCAACAAAAACACACTGACGTCAAAAAAATAGAAATGGCATTTTCATGTCTTGCAGCAGATGATTCACCAGTATTTCCAAAAAGATGTGGAACATTTGGACGAACTCATGACAGATAATAAACATTCAGTTCATTGCTCACCACAAGTATATCATGCACAAAATGCCAGCAGGCCCAGCGTCATCAAACCAAAACCATACACTTCAGTTTCTCCAGTTACAAGAGCAAACAACTCGATACTATAAGCAGCATAAAAATTACACACAAATTCAGAGTAATTCGGTGCATCCTGAGGTAACGTGATGCTATTTTAGATTTTGGCTAAATGAGGTACACTACCGTTCAAATGTTAAAGGTCTGTAAGACTGTTTTTAGTTTTATTTAGAAAGGAAGCATTAAATTGATAAAAAGGGACAGTAAAAAAATGGAGTAAAGGCTGCTTTGCCCTCACAAAAAATAATTGTATTTTAAAATATATTAAAACAGAAAGAGTTATTGTACATTTTAATAATTTATTTTGTAATATTACCGTTTTCACTGTATTTTTGATCAAATAAATGCAGTCTTAGTCAGCATAAGAGACGTCTTTCAAAATTGTAAGAAAAATCTTCACAAACCCATAATTTTGTACGATAGTGTACCTTATAAGGCACCGCATTTTTGTTGCAAAAACAAAAAAGTACCATTGGTAACCATAGTTTCCTGGACATTTGAATGGCTTCTTCCCTGTTATATGTCAGTTTACAATAGTACCACCACAGAACGTTTTTCTAAAGTGCTGTATCTGTAGACAGCTTAAAAAAAAGCTTTAAAAGCCGGTAATAACTTCATATTTCACTTACCTGTTTGGCTCCCATTGACTCAAACATCTTCTCCAACATCACACGCATCTGTTGAACGTTGTTCATCAACACACAGGGCTGCAGCAGAGGCACAGCACAAGGAAAAATAAATATACACATGTAGAGAGACAGAACTTAGACCTACTTGGACTCTTAATGCATGTTAACAGACATGTAAAATTGGGTTCAAAAATTGGGTACAAATATAGTGTTTGTGTGCTTGTTAACACTCACCGTCTTTTCTTTCTCACAGTAAGAGGGTATACTCTTGGTTAGAATAGCACAATACTGCAGGAGCACTTTGGTGATAGTCTGATTGAGAAAGGGGGAAAAGGAAAAGAAAGAACACTATTACACCTAAATGTGACCCTGGACCACAAAACCAGTCATAAGGGTCAGTTTTTTGAAATTGAGATTTATGCATCATCTGAAAGCTGAATAAATAAGCTTTCCATTGATGTATCGTTTGTTAGGACAACATTTGGATGAGATACAACTATTTGAAAATCTGGAATCTGAGGGTGCAAAAAAATCTAAATATTGAGAAAATCACCTTTAAAATTGTTCAAATGAAGTTCTTCGCAATGCATATTACCAATCAAAAATTAAGTTTTTAATATATTTATGGTAGGAGATTTACAAAATATCTTCATGGAACATGATCTTTACTTAATATCCTAATGATTTTTGGCATAAAAGAAAAATCTATCATTTTGACACATACCATGTATTTTTGGCTATTGCTACAAATATACCCCAGCGACTTAAGACTGCTTTTGTGCTCCAGGGACACGTATGGTATGTAGAGTAAATGAACTACACCTTGTACTGAACTGGTAGTCTGAAAACAAATGGACTTTGTTGAAGATGCATTAAGTTGCTGTTTTGTTCCCTGAAATAGACCTCAATATGCTGACTAAATATAAATATGATAAAGATAAAAATGATTTCAGAAAACACCATGATTACGATCATGTCAGATAACTGCATTTAGAATTTAGTCACTATCTTTACTAAAATCGAATGAAATGTAAATGCATCTCAGCTCCTACAAAACCTGTGTAGGCTTCAACAAAGATGTCTCTGCGTCAGACGTCTAAGTTAGATATGACTCACAGGCTGAGAAACCGATGGTGATGGTCTAAAGACAAACACTCTGTGTGCCAGCAGCTTATATTTCTCTTGCCTCGACTTTCCGTCTATTATCTTTTTGTCAGTCTCTGCTTGTCTATTTTCCAGTTTCTCTGGAAACGTCTTTTGAATGTAGTATATAGTAGGGTTTAGGCCTGTTGATCTTCACCTTGGCAAATCGTCGATTGTACTGGGCAACCACTGCAGGATCAGGACAGTCTAGTTTCTTAATGATTTCAAAGCTTTGGTTGAGCTGAGTGAAGATGTCCACGACCGAACAGGAGAACAGAGCATGCTCAGATGTCTGCTGGAACTGTGGAAATGACAGGAGAGATTTTTAGTCGGAGATGTTTCTTTAGCTACGGGAACTTTTTGTTTGTTTGTTTTTATTGAATATTTCTACTTAATGTCATCCAAATGTCATGAGAATTGTGCAATGAACAACAACATTTTATGAATCCTAAATACACAGAAATAAATCATATTTTTACACCTTTTTGCATAATTTGACAAAATGACATGTTGATTAGAAATTATGCAAAAAATATTAAACTTTTAATAAAGCAACATTTTTTTATGCTTTCTTCACAAATCACATTTCATCTTAGGCATGCTCTTGCTTTAATTTTCAGGGGGAAAAATTGGGGCAAAATGGTTTGTGTGGTGTAAACTAATAAAAATAGATATTTTAACACAATACACATTAAAATTCAGTCTTTGTTTATATTATCATAGTTTAAAACATGAAATGTTCATATATTTATGATGTACTTACATATTTTAGGATTGAAAGTTTGAGACAAGGCCCAAAAGAGCTGTTTATTTTAAAAGGAAACTAATATTTTATTCAGCAAAGATGCATTCAATTGATCAAAAGCAGCAAAAAAAAACATTTACAATGGTACAAAAGATTTCTGTTTTAAGTAAATGTGGTTCTTTTGAACTTAAAAAATGCATCATGGTTTCCACAAAAATATTAAGCAGAAAAAAAAATCTTGACCACCGAATCAGCATATTCAGCTTCGCCATCACAGGAAAAAAACCATATCTCATTTTGAAATATATCACGATAGAAAACAGTTATTTTAAATTGTGATAATATTTCACAATATAAGTATTTTCACCATATATTTGATCAAATAAATGGATCCTTGGAGAGCATAAGACACTTTTTTCAAAAAACATTTTTACATATTTTTTTAAAGGGGTCATATGATGCTATTTTAAAGATCATTATTTTGTGTATTTGGTGTAACAGAATATGTTGACATGCTTTAATGTTCAAAAAACACATTCTTTTTCAAATACTGTACATTATTGTAGGTCCTCTATGCCCCGCCTCTCTCAAACACGTAGTTTTCAACAAAGCCCCCTCCTTTGTCAAGCGCAGTCTGCTCTGATTGGCCAGCTGACCCAGTGCATTGTGATTGGCCGAACACCACAAGCACGCGTCCGAAATGAAACGCCTCTTACCATACTCGCGAGCTTCAGCTTTCAAAGTAAATATCAAGACAGTTAATAATGTGGTTAGTTTTACCATCAGTTCAAGCCCGAAAGGACAACAGAGTCGTGTGACAGACACAGTGAT